TGAAATATTTTAGTCTTTTGCACATACCTAACCTTGCCATGAAAAAGAGCTTTTAATTATTATAAACAGACATTGAAATCTTTGCTTTTTCTGGGAAACTACATTGTATAATTTGTTAGTTTTCCCCATCTGGCAACAAATTTATCCTTAAAAAAGAAAAACAAAAAGTAAAATAATATTTTTATGAATATTTTGGAGGAACATATATAGATAATATGTATTATTAGTCCATTATAGAAAGATAATAAGAGAAAACAAATATAAATACATTTTGGTGTTAAAATACTTTTCTTTTTCTTCCACATACCTTGGTATTCCAGTGTAGTTAGGTAAAGACATTAGGACAGTCACATTTTCTTAAAATCACATGAACAAATCCTTTCATACTCCCCAGTAATTCTAAATTGGTTCTTTTCCCATAGAAGATAATCATAAATTTGATTCTGATCTCACCTAACTTTAGAGCTTTTTGCCTTAAAGAGTCAAATTATAGCTGATGAACACATTTTGCATTTTCCACATTGCATCTGGACTCTTCATAGTTTTTATTTTATTTTCTGCACAGAGGAGAGGAAAAAATATAAAGGCCCATGAATCAATCTAGATAATGGGGAAGGCTGAATGTAATAAATAATACAGTAACAACCCTAAACTAATGAGGTGTTGCTAAGGTACATTTCATAGGCTCATCCGCTATATAAAAACTCACTAATAACCCCTTGGCGTAATCAGATGATAAAGCTTTGCCATAAGGCAACACCTGTGCAATTAAAACTGCAGATTCTTTTGCACGTTTCATTAATTTCAGGATTTTATAAAGGCACAATGACTACACTAATAATCTAGTCTACTTGACTCCATGTCTACTGGAAACAAAGTGTCTAAATAGATAAAGGTAATTAATTAGAGATAAATGGAGCTAATCAGACTCAGTTAACACTAATTCTCTGAATTAAGACATTTTGGGACACCTACTATCCCATCGACTTTGATGTTTTACATTACAAATAGGTTCTGAAGGAGTCAGAAAATACTGGCATTTGAGAATTGAGCAGTCTTTTGATGGCATATTTAGGTATCTGAAGCTAAAGGAGTTTTCTTTCATATTGTGCTATTTCACCACCTTTCTATTGGAGCTTAAAGAATTCACTTTGTAGTTATTCTAGTCTGTGCTCGTCTCCATATAAATTTTAATAACCTTTGCTATCATTTTTATTATCTGTCTAGCCCACCAATGGAAGGAAATCACAAGTTGTTCTATCTCTTAAATAAAGACTTAACCTGTTACATTAAGGAAATGTCAGGACTCATCAGCCTATATCCGAAAATTCTGGTCCTTTAAAGAGAACAAACACCTAAAATTCTGATCCTTTAATTCAGATTCTTAGAAGAGAACAAACCTCTGCTTCACTGTTTGGACTGAAAATTCAGTGATACAGCAGAAAGAGCATGGGCTTTGACGTCAGAAGACCTGAAATCAAATTCTGTTCTTCCTTTTACTGAATGAATGATCTTAAGGAACTAGTTTAACTTCTCTGAATTTGCTCCATTGTAGAATGGAAATAGTACTGATTCGTGTATTATGAATAATGAGATAACTTACTTAGTTGGTCATCATTAGCTGTTAGCCTGAGGTTGAACATATAACCTAACACTACATCATGACTGACAACAACCTTGCCAAAAATGTACTGTTTCCAACTTAGCCACATGAAAATCTGTGAGCTGTGTGTAAGAATTGACTGAAGGAACTGGAGCTTGTTGTGAGAGTACATGCAAGTGTCTGGGGTGGATCCCAGTGAGGCAAAAAAATTAACTTGGGAGAACATGAATCTCTGCTCTGATTTTCTACACTGAATAGCTATTCCTTTTGGCAAGTTATTCCTAGTCCACTAGAAGAGATGGATTGCCCCAGAAATGAACTGTGGATATACCTTAATATGAAGCAGACATTTGACCCTAGGTCTAGGATATTTCCTTCCTTTTTCTGGTCCCTATTCCAATTTACCTGGAACACTCCTGGATTATTCTAGCAGTATCCTAATATCCTTTCCTCTATTTCTTTCTTCTGTAACTGTCACCAAATTAATGTTCTTTATAAAAACTTTTCTCATTAATCAAGATTATAAGTAGATTTCATGTTAAACTATGACTCCATCATACATGCAGTCAAAAGAAGTCATGCCTGGTGCCACGACACTTAGCCTTATCACCTACTGCCTTCCCTTTTATTTCAGGATTCTCCAGCCTTGCTCTTCTTCACCCCATCTTATTTTCCTGGTATATTCTTGTCGAAACCTACTAACCTCTTTTCTCTTTTTTTTTCAAGGGCTGCTTCAACCTCTACTTTTTTCCTGATGTCTTCCTTGATGACCCTTGCCCACTAAGAGCACTATTATCTTGGAAGGTCCACAGTAGATTTCAGTGGCACCACATTTTTGGCCTTGGCCCTAACAGTGTTTGGGTTGGCAGTCCAATTCCTTTTGCTTTTACCAACACTGATGATGTATATATGCTTATCTTCTTCCAGTTGGTTCTGTTTTCTGGAGAATTCTGGCTATTAGACTCAATGGAGCTTCTTGGGGAATGCTAGAACAGGTTTTTCATGGACAGTCCATGTCATTAAATTGAAACTCAGGGGCTGGTGAGATGGCTCAGTGGTCTAAAGCACCTACTTGGAACAAGCTTGGCAGAGCACGGGGACCGCGGTTTGATCCCCCAGCACCACATGCCAGCCAGCCCCACCCCCTGGTGGACTGAGCTGGCCACACACACACACACACACACACACACACACACACACTAAATAAATAAATGTTAAAAAAAATTGAAACTCATATGGATTAGATATCCAAGTTGGCTCATTGTGGTTATTATAATGTCTGCAATTTCATTCCTTCTTTGCATCTGTGCCCTTTGGTGTTGCACTCCCAACACTTGAGTCTGAGCTTTGCAAAGTGCTTTGCTTTAGCCAGTTGCACAGAAACAGTGTTTTGGGAACAGCCTTGAAAATGCTTGAGTATCTGGGCTTTTCCTCTGGCTGCTCTTACAAACTTTAGCTACCCTGTGGATGAACCTGGGCTAGCATGCTATATTTTGAGTCAGCCCAATATTTCCCTTTCTCCAGGTAGTGGTTGGCCAACTATAGAAGTAGAGCCACTTAGCTTACTAGAGCTCCTCAGAAAAGGGCCCATGAGTCCATTTGTGGGCTGGGTTAAGTCCTGAACTGAGCCTGAACATTTGGAGACAAAATACCTTTGAGAAGCCTGCTATATGACATGTCCCCAAGTCAGACAGGAAAAACATGAGCTATATATAAAATTGAAAATAGTCATTGAATTAAACCTGAAGGCTTTGGATGATTTGTTGCACAAAAGGTAACTGATATATAGAGTAGGTATTTCACTGTTAAACTAGTAGAAACCCAAAACATAAAAATTTGGCCTCTTGTCCCATAGAATCCCCGGGGATTGCCCCCAGAGTACGATGAGATGGCAATTGAGACTGGGCATGTTGGTGCTTGCCTATAATCCCAGCACTTGGGAGACTGTAAACAGGAGAATCACTACTCGTCCAATCTAGTAGTGAGACCCTGAAACATCCTGTAGACCCTGAAAGAAAACGGGTTCAGCTTCCATCTCTTTGGGGTAGTATTGATCAACATTTGAATCAGAACTTGTACAGAGGTGTTAGGCTGGAGTTTCAGATTCATATGTAAGGAACAGGTGAAGTTGTGGGATAGGGTGAGAACGCAGGGGAAGGAGGACAATTGTGGAGTGGAAACAAGAACTGTAGGAAGGATTGGTCAGCAGATATGATTGCTAGACAGAGTAAGCATGGCAGTGCTCATAATTCAAGGATAATTTATAGCTTATAAACAGCTCATTTCAATCCAGTGGGCTAGGTAGGGTTAGGCATTATTATGCTATTTCATAGATGATAAAACAAGGGCAGAATCATTAAGTAAATTATTATGTGTCTGATAAGATGAAAAATTCTAAATGTCTTAAAATCTGTGCTAGCACTTTTTACTTAGTAGAAAGTGCCAGAAAGAGTATGGCAAGCAGAAATTTATGAGCAACTTTTTACAAAGCTGTCTGAGGAGATCTGGGAGAAGGGTTTGTAGTTAGGTGGAAGCAAGGTGGCATGAAGGTAATACAAAAGCTACAATTCTTGTTACATAGGTCTTGCTTTACCTTGGTCTTAACCATCCAGCAGAAAAGTATAAAAACGAAGTATAAGAATTAAAGCCATGCGGTTATGTGGAGCTGTAGGGGACTCAGGTCAACAACTTCTGACATTACCAGTGAAGTGGAAGACCCAATACTATTATGGACTACTGGACTATTTTGGAATATTTTGCTTAGTTCACACATCTATAATATTTAAATGATGGAACTAAACAAAAAAAGCGGATACAGATGAATGACCATTTTGTATCTGTGTATTCAAAATGGTTAGGATAGATATATAGCTACATTCTCTTAATTCAAGGAATAGAGGGATTTGTTCTAATAGTGTTTGTAAATAGGATATCATGTTTGCATCTTGTACAACAAATAACCACTAGGAAGACAGTATGCAATGTGCTAATTATTGAAACTGTGCTACCAGAGAGAGAGAGAGAGAGAGAGAGAGAGAGAGAGAGAGAGAGAGAATTAAGCCCAATAAGTGAACAAATCACCAGTCATTGCTATTCTTCAGGCAAGCCAGTTTAGTCACTTGTACCTTTCTATTTTGATTATAACACATTTCCCTAAAACAAACAGACAACGATGGACTGTACAATAAAAGACCCTTAACAACAAAAAAAAGGTAATACTTAAAAGGATTCGAGAAGTGAGGAGTGAAATGCTGTTGAATGACCCCATAGGGACTTGACAGGATATCA